CTCAGATTGCGAGTCAAGCGCCCTAACCACCTGGCCATGCCGGGCCTGCAGATTTTAGTCAATTTCATTCTAGCTAAATAAAAATAAAATGAAAATAAATGAGAACCAATTTCTGCCTTTTGCCACAGAATACGTTTCTAATACGTTTTTTTTCTATTAATCACTGGAACGCGACACTGAATTAAAACTGGAATCACTGCTGTAATGTTTAAAAAATTATTTCATGTCCTTGTTAAAAACCTTTCCAGTCACGAAACGCCACATCACATAAAAATATACACATCTGTACAAATACATGTTTTCACGTACAGAAAGATGGGAATATGACCCTGGTTTTAACCTGTTGAACCTCCAAAGATATTTTTTTTTATTTATTTTACTATTAAACTCTATGACCATTGATTATTTTTTTATCGACGATTCTTTAATTTTTATCTAACAAAAAGTAATAAAGACACACTACTTACTATTTTGTAATTCTGTGTTCCAAAAAATTTGAAGTATCACTCATCAAACTCAACAGAAACTAAGAAAATAAACGTAATATATGAAAATAGACCACTCAAGTTGACGCAATAAACAATTTTATGAACTATCATCATGCATATAACTTTTACAGAACACGCTACATAAAAAATAAATATTAAAAAGTACCTCCAACCTTAGTTACAGGTTCTGTGATTAGCCCTATATGGACTTTATAAACACACTTTTATAAACTACTTAAAAAACCAGGCCCGGTAGTTAGGACGCTCGACTCGCAATCTGACGGTCGCGGGTTCGAATCCCCGTCACACCAAACAGCCGTGGGGGCGTTATAATGCGACGGTCAATCCCACTATTCGTTGGTAAAAGAGTAGCCCAAGAGTTGGCGGTGGGTGGTGATGACTAGCTGCCTTCCCTCTAGTCTTACACTGCTAAATTAGGGACGGCTAGCGCAGATAGCCCTCGTGTAGCTTTGCACCAAATTTCTTGTAGATCAATGGCTTTTGTTGGTTATATGACTACAATAAAGCACGAGTCGTACACACAAAATTTAAACAAAATTACCTGCAACTAATTTTACTTTACTTCAGTTCCCTTATGTATATTATATATAAAATTAGTTATTTCACAGATGATTCTCAAGTCAGTTTATGTGTTTCTTTTTACAATGAGTATTCTTGCACGCCAGAACATACAATTACTCAATGCGATGCAATATCTGAACCCCACGGGTAGCGAATGATATAGTTTGTTTGTTATGAATTTCGCGTAAAGCTACACGAGGGCTATCTGCGCTAGCAGTCCCTAATTTAGCAGTGTAAGACTAGAGGAAAGGCAGCTAGTCATCACCACCCACCGCCAACTCTTGGGCTACTCTTTTTACCAACGAATAGTGGGACTGGCCGTAACATTATAGCGCCCCCACGGCTGAAAGGGCGAGCATGTTTGGTGTGATGAAAATTCGAACCTGCGACCCGCAGATTGCGAGTCGAGTGCCCTAACCACCTGGCCATGAATGATATAGGAACAAATTGTTAATTTGAGAGAGTTAATCCGGTTAATGATAACTGTTTTTTTTATTAGTTCAGTTTGTAGAAAATATATCCAATATCGTCAACCAATTTTTGGGCGATCTTGCAATTATATGTGCGATTTCTGACACTCGTATTAACTATGAAAATATCCCAATGTTGAAGACACGTACGATTACTGTTTTTTGTTGTTGTTTTTTACAGTACACAGTAAACATGTTTAGATACAAGTGACCTATTTCATATTATTATGATATGAAATATGTCCCAATGTGTTTTTCTAAGAATTACCTGTTTTTTTACTTTAAATGTTGTTCTGGTTGGTAATAGATGTTGACTGAAATAATTACTTTGGTGATTTAAGTATATCTTCATTAAATTTATCGAGTTAGTTTTTATTTATGATAACATTAAAACGAAAGTCGCCAATAACTGTTCGTTTTAGAGCAAAGCCACATTGGGCTATCTGCTGTGGCCACCTCGGCGAATGGAACTCCGGATTTTAGCTTTTTTTAAGTTCGTAAACTTACCGCTGTCCCACAGAGGGAAAGAAAACACGGAATAAAGCAGATCTGTTTTGCTCTAAACTGGCACACTTAAAGTTTGAGCTAATCTATATACGTTGTTAGTTAATAAACCAGTTGTAATCACTGGGCCCACTCTTACTCCTGTTAATGTAAACAGTTTTCGTTTGGATAAACAAGGTCAATGTAAAAAAAACAAAAAAACATGATGTGGACCAAAATCACACATACATATCTATCTATATTCTCACATAGAAATGTCCAGCCATCAAGAATCACTGCTATATGCCTGAGCCTTCTGATAAACAGCTCATAACTGAAACTGCAGTAGTGTCACCAAAAAGCACAGAAGTATTGCCAAAGCTGTGATGGCTGAAGTTGTTATAGAAGTTTCACACTAGCAACTACTAGTGTGTTAATCCTTTAGTTCCGTTGGTAAAGTACTAGCCTGTAATGCAAGCGATCCAGCTTTGAAAATTGCTTGTGGGAGATGTAGACAAAAAAGGGGGAAAATGCACCCAAATAGCGATCGTCCCCAAGCATGGAGGAAGTAATTTTTGATTGGTCAGGCAACTCAGAATAGTGTGAAAAGTACACTTTGACATGCAAGGCATGCCAGTGATAGGAGGTCTGGATGACACTTAACCCTACTTTTTATATACTAGTGGTAGTAGTGCACTAAATAATTCTTATTTAACTAAATAATGTTCCAAAGAACCTAGAATGATAACATGCACAAAATCAGACAATGTCCCATAACTATCAGAATTTTTCTGACTTTCTAACTATGCAACAAGAGCTTTTACAAATTCATCAAAGCTGGTCGATGTATTTCCATTAGAACGAAGCTTGTACTGAAAGAGAAATTAACACTTTTTCTGTACAGAAAACAACTCAACGTAATACATCATTTGAAAGATGAAACCTTGGCTTTTTATTGGTTAAAAATAATAGAGTATTAAATGTAAGAGAGAACTATTGACAAATCCTGAAATAGAGGGTGTGATAGACCATCTAACAAGAGGGGGTCTGATTTTCTATTTGATGGCTCTGTAACAGACTAAATTGAATGCTATGAAAATTATGCTTTACCTGAGCGATAACAACATTATAATAAGTAATTTACGTTAAATGTCGTACTTTTTGGAGGGGTGGTAAATACATTAGAGAAGAGGAGATGCCTAGAGAAAAAATGTCGCTCGGGGAGATTCAGCATGTTTTTTAATATTGCCTTTTAAAATTAAGAACTTAAAACTTATAAACTATTAAAATATGGATTATTAGCTACGATTTTATGTTATACTAATTGGTATAACATGAACAAACAATAAGTAGTTTAATTAAATTTTGAATGTAACTCACTAAAACCTCGTGACATGCACAGCAAAGGATGCCTGTGGCGAAAAGGTTAATTACTGCTGTAAAGTCACTAGACATTTTCTTCTTGAAAAAGCCAAGGAAACCACGGTGTGAATAAAATGACAGGTCTCACCAAAAGGAAGAAAAGAAACTATATTAATTTGAAAAACGATTTGTGGCAACCTTGTTCAGTTGCAATATCTTCAAATCACTTCTTTCCCTAGTCAATCAATTGTTACATTATTTTGTGAAAGTTGAAGTGTTTGGTATTTCTTGCAGTTTTGAAGTTTTACTTCATATATCAGAAACTATTTTGTTCATGAAATGCCATGTATGGTACAATTATATATTAGGGTTTGAAGCTGAATAAAATTAAAAGTAGAATAAAAACATACCATTTACCTCATTTCATTAGTGGATGTTTTCACAAAGAGTTAAAACTTTTAGTGCTGGATTTAGTTGCTATAATGTGTTAAAATGATGAATGTTAAAAAGAGGCTAGGTATTATTTGCTAATTACTAATCAAATTGAAATACAAATATGGCAAAAATACGACAATGAGAAACAATAATTCAAGTACATACATATATATAGTTCTAGGACCTACCTGTTGGTCCATCTTGCGCCATAAAATCCAATAAAGTAAAATTTAACATAAAAATATAATACCCAAAACATTCAAACATTTCTTAAGCCTTCCCATAAACTCCCTTAAATTTAAAAGTTAAATTACCAGTACCCACCACATTTGAAAGTAACCCATTCAAAAGACTAACAACAACCCTTTTAGAAAAATAAGGCTGTCTATGCCAAAGATGACTCTTACCTTGCCAAAATGTATATTTGTGTCCCCTAGTCCTACCATTCTCACCATTAACTAATGATTAAGTACGAAAAAAAAGGTGATGCATCTACACTATCAGTTCCCTCCACAATCTTAAAGTTAAACTCCTCAACCAGATTCCCTCTACCTCTTTCTTTTTTCAGTAGAAAACGATCGAATAAACTGTATAAAAAGATTAAATTGCAAAATAAATTATAAAAACTTACAGTTAAGATAACTGCGCGAAGATAAAGCCAAGGTACTTTGCGTACGTGCGCGTAAGCTTTAATTTTATTAACGTCTGAAATTCTTAATAACTTAGTTGTCGTTAGGGGGAAATTAGAAAATGCACAATAAGTTTTTACACAGAAAAACTTTTCATTGTGCTTATAAATCATTGTTTGACTACCTACTATTATGTTCAGTGCACCTAAAACTCTAATATATAGAATGATTTGTTAAGAAAATATGCCAATCATATCAAAAGTTAAAATCTTAGTATTTTTATCCACTTTGTAAAACAACGCCAATAAAATAGACTAATAATGTAATTTAACGGAATGAAAACTATGATTAGAAGTAATGATATTAAAGTTTAACCTACTCAGTAAACAAAATTAGAAATTAAAGTTTGTATTCAGCTCGGTCTAAGTCATTAAATTTCAAAACTCACTTTTTAATGTTACAATATCTAAAGCGTTAACTTGATTATATTCAGTCGTGTTTCACTG